TCACCCAGGGTCCCCGGAGGATTAGTCGTGTTGGGGAATCACACCCAGTTCCAGAAACTTCCACCGCCCACAGTACCAGCCCCCCCCGCCCCCCGCCCCCCCATTTCACTCACCCGCACTCTCTCGGGCTGGTCATCCTCCCGCCCGCCGGGGACAGCCTGTTGCGCTCCTCCTGCAGGGACCCCTGCCTGCACGCTGCCCCATCCCTGCTCCCGGGTCCCGCAGCCTCGCCCCACCTGGCTGACTGCATCCCTGTTCCTGCTAAGAGTTGTCCCTGTGTGCACACTGGTTCTGTGCTAGCACGCCCAGCAGGCCCACGGCACAGCTGTTCCTGCTCCCGTTGACAGAAGGGGCAACTGAGGCATACAGACCTCCAGTTAGGTGCCGTGGTCACCCAGAGGACTCAGCAAGGGCTTGTGGGAGAAACGCTTTATTACCGGAAGACAGCCTGTCAGGGCGGGAGTGCTACCTTGGCCAAGCCCCTCCAATGACTCTCGAGGCTCTTCTGAACACCTGGGTGGTGGAAGAGTGAGGGCCTGGCAGCCCGCGTTCTCTTTCCTCTCTCCGCTGTGTGGCCCTGGGTGAGGCGCTTTCCCTATCTGGGCCTATCTCCCTTGCTGCCCTCTGAGGGGCAGGGGCTGCCAGGGTACATGGGACCCACCAGCTGTGAAGTGCCCTGAGTCCCGGGCTGAGGTGTGCTCACCCAGGATCAATGTTGGGAGGGTCTGGAGGTGGGGGCGGGGAGGTAGCCTTAGTCCACAGCCTCCAACCAGGGGTGTCTGCCTGGGCCCCGGTGTGCTGCCAGGCTGTGCTGTCTGGTGGCCATTCGCTTCACGTGGCCGTTCAAGCTTAATTTTCAGCGAATTAAAAGGATATAAAGGGAAACATTCAGGTTCTTGGTCACACCTGCCACATTCCAAACGCTCTGCAGCTACATGTGGCCGTGGCCTCCGCAGTGCACAGCACAGACGTAGAGCATTCATTTCCTCATCATGGGGAGTCCCACTGGGCTGCGCGGCCCCCGGGCTGTGGTCCCAAACGGCACCAGCCTCGCTGAGCTGCGTGGGGGTGGGAGGCCTAGGTAGCTGATGGGCCGCAGCGGGCCGGCTCTGGCTCACTCTGCACAGAGCAGCTAGACCACTGCAGGGTGCCAGGACTTTCCATGGGGGCGTTTCGGCAGGACCAGTCTCCACGGCTAAGGATCATCCTTCAGGCTATGGGAGGTTTGGTCTCTGGGCCCCTCACCCGGATCCCGCGCAAAGCGTCAGCAGCACACCAGGCTTCCAAATGCCTGGCATGGACAGGCACTGAACAATCTCGGTCCCCCGCCCCCCACCAGCTGCTAAAGGCTCTCTCGGTCCCGGCCCCCGCCCACCCATCCTGTCGTGCGGATGGAGAAACTGAGCCCCGGGGATCCCCGGGCCCTCCCACCTTTTCCACTGTAGCGAAAGACAAAGCTTCTCATTATTGCAGAGAACCCCCCTTTCCATCCCCTCCAGCCCCGGTAACACGCACTGAAAGCCATGAACAATATCCCTGGGACACACACCATTCGTTCTGTTTTCTCCCCCCACACCCGCCGGCCTCGCGCGCACACGCCACACTTCCCTGCATTTTCAGGAGGCTCTGGGGTGGAAGGCAGCCCACGGCATCCCAGGAGTCCCGGGCCAGAAACTTCTTTCTCTGTGGAAGATTCCTAACAGGGACGTGGGGAGCCTTGGAGGGAAGATTCTAGACTAGAATCCAGGAGGCCCTCGCTCCCTGCTTTGGAACTGCAGAGGGGCCGGGTTGTGGCCCCCTTGAAAACCCGGCTTAAGTGGGGCCTAGAAGCTGCGTTCAGTGTATTTGCACATAAAACGGAGGTTTATGGACCCAGGAACATCACAACGGCTCCCAAGGCGGCCCCACTGTCCCCTAGTCCCTCCGGTCCTGGGTCTCTCCCCCCGCCCCCAGCCCCCTCTCCTTCCTCCGGTCTGACGTACTCACCCAGTCCCAGCTGGGGAGCAGGCCCCGTGGTAGGCTCTGGGGCTGGGCCCACACGGTCCTCGCTTACATTCCAGCGGGGGAGACCCGCAGTCCACAAACACTAAGGAAGTCTACGGTATGCAGACGGCGGTGAGCAGAGGGAGTGCGGGAGGGAGGCCATTAGGGACAGCCTTGTCGAGAAAGGAGAAAGTGACATTAGTTAAAATCCTGAAGGAGCTGAGAAGGTGAGTCCCGTGGGTATCTGGGGGAGGACCCTCTGGCCACGGGCACAGCCGCGCAAAGGGCCCGAGGTGGGGAACAGGGAGAAGGCCCGTGTGGCTGAGCAGAGTGGGCAGGCGCAGTGAGAGACGCGGGAGGCTGGAGAGGCTGCAGTGGGAGGCAGCGGCCCGGGGAGGCCGGAGCAGTAACCAGGGCTGAGGTGCGGCGAGGTGGCCCAGGGTGGTAGCCATGGGGGCGGCCACCGGGTCAGGCTCCAGATAGACTCAGAAGGGACTGCCAGTGAGAGTCACGGGAACATCCTCACCCAGACTCCGCGCGGGGGGCTCCTCCCTGAAGAGCTCAGCCGCAAGCCCAGAGGCGCACTCTGTCTTCCTGCCCCTTGTCCTGCGCCAGGTGGTGTTTGCCTCCTTTTGGGGACCTTTGCCCTCTGTCCTCCTCCCTCGAAGGAAATGAAAGCTTTGTCCTGGGCTTTGCTCCTGCTCCTTCCTCCTCTGATAGACACGGGCTCTTCTGGAGGGAAGGGGAAGGGGGGGTGGGAGGGGGAAGAGAGGACGGGGGTGGGGATCCCTGCAGAGAGACACTTAGACCCCAAGGTGGTAGCTGCTAAGGGATGCCTGGGAGCTTGTGCAGGGTCCCTTGGGGCCAGCAGGCCCAGGGAGCCCAGGCCTGGGGGGCAGCCCGAGGGGCAGGCTGAGCCTTGTCCCCCGGCCTGGCCTTTGGAGTCCTGGGTCAGCGAGGGGCTCCTGAGTTTGCCTGGCATTTAGAGGGTTAGCATGTTCGCAGGGGGAGCCGTGGGCTTTAAGCCTGTCATTTGGGGAGACGGGAGAACAAAGCCGAGAGCAGAAGAGGCAGACGAGGGTAAAGCAGCTCATGCTGGGAGCGTTCTGAGGCCTTGCACCGCACAGCCCCAGGAGCCAGCCATTAGGCCGGGTGGCAGGCCTCCTTCCCCAGTGGGTGGAAGCAGCTGGCTGGGTTGATGGTGCCCCGGCGGCGGCTGGCAGCGGCCATGCTCTGCTGAGCCCTCCATGGCCCCCAGCCTCGGCCCCTCCTCGGGGCTCACGGGGAGCTCCCCAGTGTCTCCCACTCAGGAATCCGGGCCTCAGCAGTGTCCCGGGGCTCCCGTGGTCTGCCACTGAGATGGCTCAGCCCCCTGCCGCTCCACCAGTGACATGGGTTGGAACGTGCTGGGGGTGGGGGCCTCGGGCAAGCCCTCTGGCCTCTCGTGCACCCTCTCACGGAGGGGCGGGGGCTGAGATGAGCCCTCAAGCCCCATCCAGGCTAGACAGTGCTCCCAGGGGAGCAGGGAGGGTCTGTGGCAGGCAGGAGCCCCACTGGGGGCGTCCCAAACTGAGGCAAAGCAGGGAGTGTGAAGACTCTGCCCCCCACTCCCCTCCGCAACTGGGATGGCTGAAGCCCAGACGAGGTAGGACACTGGCCCGGGTCACACGGCAGGTCAGGCCTGCCCCAGGACCTTAGCACACGATGAGCTCATTGTCTACAATCACTTTGGGTATGTTTCTGGTGCCTCTTTCCCTGATGTTTCCATCCACCCTGCTGGAGGGAGGAGGGCGCGCACCAGCTCCCAGCACCTGAAGCATCTGGGAATGGAGGGAGCTGGGATTCACCTGGGCATTCTCCCGCCCGGGCCCATGGTCCTCACTGGGGAGGCAGGCACCTCGTCCCTGCCAGCCGGGTCCCTCCCCACTTAGCCCTGGAAGACCAGAGGTGGCGTGCCGTCCATTCTGACGCAAACGCCGGGGCTGTGTGCAGGGATCTGGGACTCGAGCCGGGCTGTGTGCAGGGATCTGGGACCCGAGCAGCCTCTGACGGCCCAGTGCCGCCCGCCTGACGGACAGGAGCCAGCAGAACCATCACTAAGTAGGGGCCTCTCCACCTGCCCTCCGGAGGGGCACAGCGCCCCCCTGGGCCCTGTGAGCTCCAGGGACTGCTGAGGCCGGCACACAGGTGGAGTCTGATGGTACGGGAGCCCCCTCGCTCCTTGTCTTGACTCCCAGCCGAGCTCAGCCCGGTTTGCCCACAATTCCTGACGGCAGGACTCACACACAGTGAGGGCCCTGCTTGTCCAGTAGAACCTTCAGAAAAAGGTAGGGCAGCAGGTGTCTAGATTGCGGGGGGTAAGGAAGGACTGGCCCCGGGACACCCGGAGGTGAAGGCCATGTGGCCCATCCCTAAGCTTCCCAGGCGCTACGCCTGGGGCTGCGGCCCGGCCTGGACCTTGCTGCTGCCGGCGGGACGCAGCAGGAGAGCTCGGGAGGTGGCTCCATGGCCTCTCCCACGTTGTGACCCAGTGCCCTTCTGGGAGAGGCCGGGGTTACTTCTCCCCGGCAGAGAAGCGAACATGCCAACCGTGAGGACTCCTGCCTCTGAGCTCAGCCCCTGAGGCAGGGGTGGGATTGGAATCTGGGTCTGGCCCCCCCGCACCCTCAGCCTCCCCCCTCTGACCCAGGACAGGCGGTGGCGGGGGGGGGGAGGACACGTACACCCGCCTAATTCAGGTCTCCGTGGCCAAACCGCAAAGCCCAGGGAAGCCGGCCAGGCCATCTGGGAAGCTGTCTCCCCTCCTCTCCATTTCTGGCCCCCTCGGGGTCCACTCAGCTTCCCCCAGACTCTCTCGGGCAGGAGCCAGGCCCGCCGGAGAGGAGGGGAGGCTGCAGGTGCTCCTGTGTCGGAGGCGTGTCAAAGCCAGAGGCCCAAGCTCCCCAGCCTGTGGTCTGGCGAGGGGGCCAAAAAGCTTTCCAAAGGCCATCTGAAAACCCAAACGTCTTCCCATGACTTTGACTTTATTAGCCTGACCTGTTCCAGCTCAGTCCACAGCGGGGCTGGGTGGTGTGTGAGCATCTGAAAGCAGCCAGGGCCCGCCAAGGACTGCCTACACCCCAATCCCCCCACTGCTTCTTGTGTGTGTCCGCGGGAATCCCGTCCTCCCTGTGCCCCGCACGTCTGTCGTCTTCGGCTCTCCCCAGAGGGTCAGGCAAGCCTGGGCAGGACTGTGTGGTGCAGTTTTGCTGGGGCTGCCCGGTGGTCATCGCAATCTGGCAGGTGTGTGAGCCGGGAGGGAGGGGGGCAGGCGAGGGGAGACCCCTCCCACGCCCTGCTTCTGCGCACCTATTTCATGAGCTGGCAAAGGTCAGAAGGCTTTCCCAAGTGAAAAGCAGGTCAAGGCAGGAAGAGCTTGCTTTTTGGACTCCCTTCCCTGCCAGCATCTGGGAAATGGGCCATCCTGCCCAGTGGCCTGACTGCAGGGACCGAGCCAAGCTGGCATACCTGTTCTATGCCTCCCATACTGCGCCCACGGCAGATAGTTCTAGTCAATCCTTACTCTGTCCCTAATTCCAGATGCACCTTGAAGCTCTCCAGTGATGCTCTGGGCAGTCTGCCTGTCAGGTGGGCCTGGGATTCCAGACGGAACTCTGCCTCCCTGCTTTTACACTGGGTGCAAAGCGCTAACTGAGCATCTTCCTGGAAGCCTGTAGAGGGCCACACGGCACGCTGCCTGAGCCCAAGACTTTACGCGGTTGTTTTGGTGTGGGGGGGTAGGTGTTGGCTAGCAACCATCCTTTGGTCAGTGACCACAGGATGGACCCTCTGAGTCTTCTGTCTACTCAGCTGGTATCTGTTTGGGGGGTTAGCAGGCCTGGAGTAAGAGCAGGGAAGACCCATGTTCCAGTCAGGGTCCAGGTCCTGGGCCAGGGTGGCAGGCCCTGTGTGGATGGTCAGCGAGGGATGGAGCAGGTCTCGGCCTCCTGATCCGTGGAAGCTCCGCCCCGTGGGCACATCAGTAGAACCCCTTCACCCTCTTGTTGTCAGGGTCGAAGGGGGACTTCAGGTGAGCCCGGGCAGGGTAGGTCACCCCCATCCGCTCCAGAGCGTAGTCCCCACCCTTCACAAAGTCCAGCGAGACCTATTGCAGGAGAGGAGGGGGTGGGGGTCACTTGTCACCGTGTGGGTGCTGGGTTCATACCCACCTGACTCTTAGAGGGGGGCTCGGCCTCCCTTCCTCCCCTCTCTGCGCCGAGGGCCCTCCTCCCAACCGAGGGGCTGCCCTGAGCAGGTAGGTGCCCTGCCTGGGACTTGACCGCCTGGGGCCCAGCAGAGCCGTGGTCTGGCACCAGTGGGGTTTCTCCCCCAGGATAGGGAGGAACCGGGCTCAGTGGGGGATTACTGGGGTTTATAAAGTGTCACGTGGCAAAATGTGCCCACCGTGCCTGCGCACGCATCTGTATGCATGGGCACAAGTGTGTATATATGTGTGCACACGGCGCACGTGCCCCCACGCCGGGATCGTGTCTGGGATGAGGGGAGAGAGGAGAGGAAGGGGGTCCTGGGAGAACGGTCAGGCGTCTGGTATCCACCCCAGGCTCTAGGAGCACGGGGCGCCAGCCCTGGCCCAGAGCCTCTCTCTGACCAACAGAAGCCTGGAGTTCCCGAAGTCAGATTCTTTCAGACAGAAAATACAGAAACAGCCCCTGACCCTGCCCGAAAACACGGCCTCATCAGCAGTGACCCTGTGCGCCCCTCCCACCTCCCCCCCTGCAGCTCGGTGCCGGGGTGCACGCGGCGCAGGGGTGCTGGTGTGGTGTCTGACGAGGAACCCGGCTTCCCTTGGTTTTGGTGGTGGTGGTGGGGGGGCTCAACTCACCGGCCCGCCGCTGGGGTCCCGGATATAGCCGTAGGCCAGGGTCTTGTCGATGGCGAAGCCAAAGTCAGCCCTCCGGATGTGGCCCACCACTTGGCCGTTTCTCCAGATGGCCTCCAGGCCGAACATGGGCACTTTTCTGGAAGAAGCAAGAGAAAAGGCTGGGGCCCCGGAGCCCCCAGAGGGGGGACCTGCGCGGCCCCGGGGCCGATGCAGCACCCCCAGGATGCCAGCGCACAGGCTCCCGGGGATGTTCAGAGGAGCGGAGCAGACCGCAACCAGGCTCTGCCTCCCATGTCTGCAGGCAGGCCGCAGGGATTCGGGAGAGGCCCACCTTTCCACTGGTTTTCCATTGACTTCTGAACGATTTAAAAAAACCTTATGCCCCCGAGCCTTGCTTTCCTCTGCCTGGCTCTCTTTTCACAATAGGACGCATCATCTAAGCAAACGTCCTTTTCTTTAGTACGGGTAAGGTATGAGTGCTGACTGCACGTTTTTGAAAATTCAGAACAGAAAACACACAGATCAACCTGCAATCACGGCCGCGCCCGGAAGTAACTGGGCAAGTCTGGGTGCAAATCTTCGCAGACTCGTCCCTCCAGGTGTACCTCGTTCATGGTGTTTATGGAGAGCCCGACCGTGCCCAGGGCCACGTCCCCCAGGAGAGGGCGGCGCCGGCTGAGCCCGGGGAAGCCAGGCTGGGACCTGACGCGGACGCGGCTATGGATCCCCTCCGAGCCGAGCCGCGTGGACAGGGTCTGGGGGCCTCTGTGACCGTCTGGGGAAGAGGCTGGGACAGACCGAGGGTCTATGGCACTCCCTTGCTCTTTTGTCCCACCCCAGTCCTGCGGAGCACGTGCCGTTGGCAGATGAGGAAACGGGTTCGGTGAGGCCACCTGTGTGGCCCAGGGCCCAGAGCTGAGTGGCAGCTCCCTACAGCTCCTGGCCGTGACCTTCATCAGGATTGGGACCTCCCTGGCTGTAGCTCCGGGTGGATTTTGCAGCCCGGCAGAGAACACCCGGGCAGGGCGAGCCGGGCTGTGGCCAGTGCTGTCCGAGCTGCTCCTAGTTCCCGGGGTCAGGCTGCAGGCGCTTTCTGGAGGGCCACGGGGCGGAGGGGGTCCGCAGACCCCTGCTCCGGCGGCGTCCCCACACTGGAGTTAGGTGGACAAGCAGCCTGACGAGGGCCTGCCTGACAGGAGCCCGGTGAGAAGCAGCAGGACGATGACAAGCCACAGCTCCGCCCCCTCTGCCCTCCCCCCCCCCCCCCCTTGAAGCTCCTGACACTTCTTTTGATGGCTCGAGAAATCTGGGAGAAGTGGTTCCATTTGTGGCTGTCAGCCGCAAATCAACCAAGCCTGGCCGCCGCAGTCCAGGGGACCGATGCTCCTCAGATTCCTGCGGAGCCATGGTGGGGCTGCACCAGCCTGGTGCTGTCATTTCAGAGTCGCTGACCCCAAGTGGAATCCAGGGACAGCACGGGCCCAGCTCCTGGGGACAGATCTGAGCCACCTGCTCAAAGCCGCCCCCTGGGTGGGGGGGCTTGGGTCCCTGCAGCGTGGGCTCTCCTTCCTGTGACTGAGTTACCCTGGCCCCTGGCAGCCAAGGTCTCCATCTGGAAGTGGGGAGGGTGGCCCCAGCCTGGGCGGTGGGGAGGATGGAACCAGAACACAGCGGGAGGTTGCTGCACAGTGACGGGGACGCTGGGCCTTCAGCCTGGATCCACCCCCACAGAGGTGGCTCGGCAGCGGGCCTTTCTCTCTCCAAAGCTGTGTTTGAGGAGGGTGTACCCTCGCCACGTCCCCTCGGGCCCTGCTGCTGGACGCAGGATCGCGGGCCACTCACTCATCCACCGTGAAGCACAGCAGGCGTCGGCGGAGGCCCTCGGCCCGCTGCTTCTCCAGGGCCTCCCGTCCCAGAAAGGGGATGGCCGACTTAAGCTTGCAGGTGAAGGCCAAGCCTGCCTCCAGGGGACTGTCATCAGGGCGCAGGTCGGCATGCCAGTGCCGGTAGCCTGTGGGGAGGAGAGCCTGGGGTCAGTGCCCGGCAGAGGTGGGGGATGGGCTCCTCCGAAGGCCCGGCAGGGCCGGGGTTGGGGGGGGGGGGGGGGGGGGGGGGGGGCATCCTCGCCTGCAGAAGGTCGCCTGGGCCAGCCCTCAGCCTCTGCACTGCTAGCTGAGATGCTGGGAAGAACCCGGGCAGCACTGCCCCATATTCTTCAAACCTCCCAGGGAAAGCCAGGCGCTGACTCCCAACCCAGCTCTGGCCCCATCCCCACAAGGCCAGGCAAGCACCTCTCCCGCTCGCCCTCCAAGTACAGGCGTCAGAGACCCCAGCACCATCCCCAGGCCTGCGTGGAAGACCGCGTTCATGGGCAGCGCAGGAAGGGTGTCAGGGCTGGGGAAGCAGGCATGAGGGGGTAAACGGGAAGCAGACTGGGGACAGGAAAGAAGTACGGGGAGGGCGACAGCCCTGTGCCTACAGCATGGCTCTGGGTGGCCCACCGGCACTGCGTGGCTCCCGCACACACCTTTCTCGATGCTCAGGGAGTCGATGGCCCGGTACCCAGCGTTGACGAGGCCGTGCTTGGCGCCTGCCGTCATCACAGCCTGGTAAACGGGCACACAGGCTGGCCTGGGCACATGCAGCTCCCAGCCCAGCTCCCCGACGAAGGACAGCCTCATGGCCCGCACCTGGGGGGACAGGGCACGGCTCAGACAACCCAGGTTAAGGCCCAGCTGCCACTTACTGACGGACAGTCCCTACTGTCGCCATCCTCATTAGCTGGCCCTGGGCCCAGGCCGGCCTGCCACCAAGGCATGGGGTCTCCAAGGACAGAGCTCCAGGCTTTGGCAATCTTTAAGGGGGAAGAAGGGGGGCCAGCAGGAGAAAGTGGACACAAGGTTCCCAGGCCTCAACTCTTCTCAGTCGCTGTGTGAGTGTCCTGGGGTGGCCATACCAAATGACCACAGACCGAGGACTTAAAACAGCAGAAGTGTGCTGTCTCCCAGTCCTGGACGCTCGAAGCCCCACATCCAGGTGTCAGCACGCTGTGCTCCCTCCGGAAGCTCTAGGTCAGGGTCCTTCCTGCCTCTTCCAGCTTCTGGGGGCCACAGGTGCTCCTTGGCTTGTGGTTACTTCCCTCCATTCTCTGTGTCACGTGCCTTCTCCTCTGTGTCCCTGTCTTCTCTACTTTCATCTCTTATCAGGACGCTTGTCATTGGAGTCAGGACCCACCCTGATCCTGGATGATTCCATCTCCAAGAGTCTTACGTTAATCCCATCAGCAAAGTCCGCAAGTTCCAACTCAGGCCACGCTTGCAGGTTCTGGGTGAGGGTTGGGACGTAGACCTCTGTTCTGGAGGCCACCATGCAATCACCACAGTGACTCTGGCGAGTCCCCCAGACTCCCTCTGACCTCAATTTCCTCCTCTGTAGACGAGGTCAGGAGCCTGGCTTTGTCTGTTTCGAGAAGCCCCGAGATGTGTGTGCAAGCAAGTTGCTAGGAGGTCGGCGGCACAACTCGTGGCTCACCGTGGCTGCACCCCGTGGGTTCAGAGGCATCAAGAAGGGAAGCAGACAGGCGCTGATTCCGTCCCTGTGATTGCTCCCTAGCCTGGTCAGCCTCGGCCAGACGCTGGGCTCTGAAGACAGACACAGCCTCTGTCCCCAGGACCCGAGTCTTAGAAAAGGACTCAGCCAGAAGCACAAGGCAGTTCTATGGCAACCATGCCCAGGGCGGGCCAGTGCTGGGAAGGAAGGCACCTGCTTGGGACAGGCCCGGCTGCAAGGTTAGCGGAGTTTGCAGCTGCCGACGGGCCCTCAGGAGAGCTGGGGCCGGGGCACAGAGCTGGGGCGGGCACGTAGGGGAGGGCAGGACAGAAAGGCCTACAGCGGGGTTGGAAGGACTTTATCATCAGGCTGCAGACATTTGTGAGAGTCACTTCAGTGAGACCTGGGCCCCAGGGGCCCGCAAAGGACCAGGGGCCCCCACCGCCACGGAGATGACAGTGCTGTTTATGCAGTGTCCCTGGGCTAAGTTCTGCACATTACGTCACTGGAGCCCTTCTCGGCCCCACACGGTGGCGGAGACCGATGTAAATAACATCGAGGGGGCGACAAAAACAGAGGCACCGGGCCCGGCCTGAGCACACGCATCTCTGATGGGGCAGCTGGTCTCTGGGCGCGTGTAGCTGGCATACCTCTATGCCAACCAGGCCAGCAGCAGCATGGAGGCCACACCAGCAGGGGGCAGGACTCCCTGCCCGACGCCGATGGCCAGGGTCTTGTCCCCGCCCAGTCGGTTTGCGGGCATGTCATTTACACACCTGGCAACGGGTTCCTGCTTCCTGGCCTTCAGGCAGGTCCTTGAGCCCACAGGTCAGGTCAGCCCCAGGACCATCCTCGAAACCAAAGGGACGTGGCGAGAACAGCGAAGTGCTGAGCTCCCAGAGATGGAGGAGCTTATCCCATCCTTGTGGTGAGCACTAAGTCCGCCTGTGCAGCTCCGGCGGGATCCTGTCTACACAGGAGGGGGCGGAGGCCACTCTCCCAAACACAGACCTGGCTCCTTATAAATCTGACACTTTAATCATACTGCTGCCGAGGGGCTGGATTCTGAAAGCTTTTGAAACAGCGAACATTTGCTCTGAGTTGCCATTTGCCCAGTCCTCTCAAAAAACTCAAAATTGACACAGAAAATGTACTGTTGACATTTCCCTGCTTCCCTAGTGCAAGCCATGGGCCCCTGACAAAGATTGCCTTGTCAACGGGGTTCTAATTTTAGACAGCCCACGGAGGAGCTTGGGGCTCAAAGCCAATCTCATTTTGAAACAGGAAAAATCATTTTTAAAAGCTCACCCATTAATGGCCCAAGATTGCGGGTTCATGTCAGACACACATGCTCCCAGTTAAGTAAGAGGGTCAGCGCTGGGGCTCAGCTTGAATTCACCGGTGGGGTGGGATAGAGCTATCCCAGGCTCTTCTGTAGCTCCCAGGAGCCCCACGAGGCCAGGGCCTGGCGGGCCTGGCTCTCCACTGCATCCTTGTGCTCGGGCCCAGCACACAGTAGGTGCTAAAAAAATTACTTCTTGAATGATGGAGGAAAACAGGGGCAGATGGACCTCTGCTTCTGGCAAAGCGAGGGAAAGAGTCTGGGGAATTCCAGGTGCCTTTCTACATTCACAGAATTACTGGTTCTCGAGACATCCTGCATTTGTCTCCACTAAAGCAGTGGAGTTGGGAAGAGTCCTCATTTCTTCTGAGCAGGGACATGTAATAAAGGGAGAAAGCTGAGAATGAGGGTATCTGGAACACGGGCTCTGGGTCAACCAGACTCACGTGGGTCGACCTCTCCCTGCCTCTGTGCCCCTATCTGATAGATGGATGAGGCCATTGCTCGTGATCATTGAGTTCACGGAAAGCACGTTGCCTGATTCACAGTCATCTGCCAGTAAAGACTGGGTTGGGTTGACTTTAAAAGCAAGCCCCAAACTGAGGCAAACCTCCTTGCAAAACAGAGCCCCTCTCTCTTACAGGAACCACAGGCCCTGGCTGGAGTCACAAAATCATGGAAGGTCATCAGGAAGGGCCTTAAAGTAGGTTTTATTTTAACCCTTTTCTCACCCTAAAGACCCCCCAAAATACTGTTGGAATTAATAAACACATTCAGCCTAGGTTGTAGGATACAAAATCAACATACAAAAATCAATGGCGTTTTTCTACCTTAACAATGAACAATCCAAAAAGGAAATTTTTTTCAAAATTCCATTTCTAATAGCATCAAAAAGAATAAAATACTTAAAAATAAACCTAACTATGGAGGTGAAAGACTGCTACACTAAGACTACACAACTTCGCTGAAAGAAATGAAAGGCGATACAAGTAAATGGAAAGACATCCCATGTTCATGGATTGGGAAACAATATCATCACGATATCAATGCTACCCAAAGCGATCTACAGATTCAATGTATCCCTATCAAAATTCCAGGAGTACTTTTTGCAGAAATAGAAAAATCCATCCTAGCATTCACAGGGAATCTCAAGGGACCTCAAATAGCCAAAACAATCTTGAAGAAGAATAAGGCTGCGGGACTCTCAGTTCCTGATTTCATAACTTACTACAAAGCTCCCATAATCACAACAGTGTGGCACTGGCATAAAAGCAGACAAATAAACCAGTGGAAGAGAAAAGAGAGCCCAGAAATAGGCCTTCATGTATATGGTCAAGTGATCTTCAACAAGGCTGCTGAGACCACTCAGTGGGAGAAGAGACAGTCTCTTCAACAAACGGTGTTGGGAAAACCAGATATCCCCATGCAAGAGAATGAACTTGGACCCTTATCTTGCACCATATACAAATTTTAACTCAAAATGGATTAAAGACCTAAGTGTAAGTCCTAAGACTATACGACTCCCGGGAGAAAACAAGGGAAAGCTTCACGACATGGGACTTGGCAATGACTTCTTGGATATGACACCAAAGGCACAGGCAACAGAAAGCAAAATCAGTCATATGGGACCACATCAAACATGAAAACTTCTGTGCCTCAAAGGAAACAGCCAACAGTAAAAAGGTGACCTACAGAGTGGGAGAAAATATTTACAAATCACGTATCTGATGAGGGGTTAGTATCAAGAATACATAAAGAACTCCTACAACTCAACACCAACAAAACAAATAACCCGGCTAAGAAATGAGGAAAGGACTTGAATTGATATTTCTCCAAAGATGATCTACAGATGACCAATAAGTATAATGAAAGGATGGTCATTATCACCAATCCTTAGAGAAATGCAAATCAAAACCACAATGAGATACGACCTCATACCCATTAGGATGGCTGCTGTAAACAAAAACAAAAACAAAAACAGAAAATAACCAGTGTTAGCAGGGATGTGGATAAATTTGAACCCCTAGGCCCAGCTGGTGCAACTGCTCGGGAAAACAGTGTGGAGGATCCTCAAAAAAAATGAAAAATAGAATGAGCACATGTCCAACAATTCTACTTCTGGGTAGATGGCCAAAAGAATTGAAAGCAAGATCTGGAATAGATATTTGCCCACCCATGTTCACAGCAGCATTATTCACAATAGCTAAGAGGTGGAAGCAGCCCATGTGCCCACTGACAGATGAATAAAAAAATGGGGTCTATCCATACAATGGAATATTATTCAACTATTACAAGGAAGGAGATCCTGACACCGGCTACAACATGGATGAACCTTGAGGACATGATGCTGGGTGAAATAAGCCAGACACGGAGACAAATCCTAATCCACATTCCACTTACATGGAATTAAATTAGTCAAACTCATAGAGACAGAAAGTAGACGATTGGTTCCCAGGAGCTGGGGGAAGGAGGAATGGGGGTTGTTGTTTAATGAGTATAGAGTTTCAGTTTTGCAAGATGAAAAATTTCTGGAAATCTTTTGCACAACAACATGAATATAGTTAACATTACCGAACTACATGCTTAAAAAAGGTTAAGATGGTAAAAACAGAACACGCTTTTCTCCGTGGATGGGCACCTAAAGCCCAGAGGGACTGGGTGATTTGCACTTTCTTGATGTTTGCGACACCAGGAGCAAGGGGGAGGCAGCAAATGTTGACACAGGGAGGTGAGGGGCCCGCTGCCTACAGGAGCAGCAAGCACCATCCCTGGCAACTGACCTCCCTCTGAGTCTCTTCT